TCTAGATTTCGTAGGCAGTGGGTAAGCGTAAATAATGCTTCATAATTTCTGGAGTCATGGACATTAATAACTTCCTCTTCACTTTCTGATTTTTGGCATACCACTTTTCATATCCATCTTCTCATTCAGCAGGTGGCTTTGTCTAGCCACGAATATAGGAGAGTTTCCCCTGACCAAACGTCATAATTTGATTCAATAAGAATAATCCCTGCATTAAAAACACCTTCAGATTGAACAACAATAGGAATTGATTTCGTCCCAGATGATTTAATATTTTTTTCACTCACATATATTTATATATATATATATATATATATTTTTTTTTCAACTCTGATTCAATACAATAAGACAGTGTATTACGACACCAGACAAACACCAGATCCAAAAAAAAAAAAAAAAATGGCTTCAAATAAATAAATCACCAAGACAACAACACAGCGACATAGACAACAACACGGATGTACAGCGACGACGAAGGCACAACAATGATAGCGACTCTATGACGACGGCGGCGGCGATAAGGCGCAACAAGCGTTGTGACTGGCGATGGTCGTTCTATGGGTTTTGGTTCTATAGGGTCGTTTATTTTAGAATAGTGGCTTGGATTTCTGGATTTCAAGGTTTCAAAGAGATTTTTTTTCAAGGGTTCAAGAGGTTTGGTTGTTTGTTGTGGAACAATGGCTTGGATTCTAGGTTACAAGGTTTCAAAGAGATTCAAAGCCTGTTCGGTAGGCTCTGATACCAACTTCAATTCAGAAGAAAAATATGAGAATTAAAATTGTATTTGAATTATTATTCACTAATGGGGATAGATACTATCTATAGAATAAACCCTAACCAAATTAGGTAACTAATTATACAAGAATCTGGAAATTAATTACCTACAAATTAGTCAATCCTATAGCTATACAATCTGTACAATCTCGGATTATCGAGAGAAAAATCTCAATAAGAAAACCCGTTTTGAGGCCAAAACGATGGTATTTGGCCGCAAAACAACGTATATTACAGCATAGCAATGAGTTTTGCTCGTTGGACCGTTTCCAATAAAAAAAAAAAAAAAAAACTCTCATGTTGGATAAAAAACGGACACTTTGGGATTGGCCAGAAAAAAAATATGTCAGCATACTCGTTTGGAACATTCCAATAGGCTTTATCAATCAGTTATTCATCAACTACAAATAAGGGATCGTCTGTTTATTACATTTGCCAGGAATAGTAACTCTAATTTTTCTCTCTTTGTTCGAATGAGGTAGAGACCAATGATCACTTGTTCTTCAAGTTTTCATACTCTTCTGGGCTTTGGGATGTTATTTACCACAAATATAGTACATAATGTGGGAATAAAAGCTTTACATACATAGCTAACTGGATTAATTCAATTGGGACTCCATCTCAAATCCAATGTTGCCATGATCTTCAAGTTTTGTTTCTCAAAATATATCTACTTTATTTCGAAAAAGATAAACAATTACACCTTTGTAGGGGAGCTTTCCCCTCCTGAATTGACTTAGAAATCCATCAGGAATGCATTCGTAATCGCCTTCTAACTGCTCAAAACATATTATATATATATATATATATATATATATATATATATATATATATATGTATGTATGTATGTATGTATGTATGTATGGGAAAATTTCACGAAACCCCCACTACTATCATTTTTTAATCAAATACCCCCAACCTACTTTAGAAAACCCCCAACACTATGAAATTTGATCACACTGTACCAACTTTGTGATTAAATGACGAAACTAACCTTCTGATATATCAAATCATTTTAAAAAGAAAAAAATTGGTATTTTGCTAATTACAAAAATAGCCTCTCCCACTATCGGAAATTGGTAGAGTCTATTTTACCCCTTTCATAAAAGGGTGCTAAATCACAATGTGGAAAAAAATGGAGGACACGTGTAAGCAACCTATTAGCTGAATAGGCTGCTGATTTGTAGTTTTTTTTTTTTTTTTTTCAACTGGGTATCTTTTCACCCTCCCCTCTCTCTCTAACCTCTCTCGCTGTCCAAGCCGCCGGCGATGTACAATGGTGAGATGATGCAGCGTAGGAAAACATGACGACGGTGAAGCGAGACTAATAAACAAATGACGAAGCCCCGACCAACAACTAAAAAATCAAACGGCGACGCCTCGACCAATCACTCGGTGACTGTGATATACCGACAAGCACAACTATCCACCAACATAATTAAAACGGCAACGGTGAAGCTTGCACATAGCCATCGCAAATGATTTGGTGTTAGGATTTCTTTCTCTTTATTCTGCCAGCTTGAAGCTGACAGTTGGGTACAAAAGCTTTTCCGGTTTAATCACCATTCTGAAACTCACCAGTTGAATAAAGCCGCCATTGCTAGGGTAGGCGATGGCAATCTCGGCAGAAACCCCCTTCAACTATAGCTCAGATCTTTTTAGTTCTGATGCCGGAAGGCCGGTCATGAGCATCATATGTGTTGTGTTTGTGTATATATATATATACACACCAAGAGAACACTCCCTCTCTGTGCTCTTATTCTCCAGTAGCCGATGATATTGCCGACTAATCAAACCTCTGGCTGGTGATAAAAGGGGAAAGGTTGTGAATTACAGATGTGTGTATGCGCATGCGTAAGAGAGGGAGATATTTGACTGTTGAGATGGTGTTACGTTGTTGCAGGTGGTGGTCATGGAGATTTGTATGTGTTCTTGTTTGATTGGGTTGAATTGCATACACTAAAAATTATAGGTGTAAGTGGTGTTAGAGTTTTGGGTCTCAAGGTGTAAGTAGTGTTAGGGTTTCTCTTTGATTCGGCGTGGTGGTGGATAGGAAATCTGCGTCCTCAAGATTCTCTGTGCTTTGCTGACTTAAATGTGACCAAGGTTATTTTTGCAATTGACAAATTACTAATTTTTGTTTTTATAAATAATTTGGTGTATCAGAAGGTTAGTTTCATTATTTAATCACAAAGTTGGTGTAATGTGATTAAATTTCATAGTGTTGGGGGTTTTCTAAAGTAGGTTGGAGTTATTTGATCAAAAAATGATAATAGTAGGGGTTTTGTGAAATTTGACGCATATATATTTATATAGGCTATATAGCAAAATTCATACTCTTGTGTTTGTAAGAGTAGGAGTGAAAGGATAAAGACAAAAAATAAATTAAATAAGAGAGAGAATAGTGTTGACTCATACTATGTTTGATTAATGAGGAATAATAATGGAAATTATAACATTAACTTTAAATTATGTTTAAAAGTTCAGTGGAGAGAAAATAAAGGAAATTATTGTTTTATTGTAATTATTAAAAGTAATGGAACAGAGCCGTAATTACAAAGGTGGAAATGAAACTGAAAAAATGAGTATCAAAAGATTTAAGAACTAAGGTGCTGTTTGATAGAACTGAAAATTTTAAGGACTGAATTTTAAGTGCTGAAGTTTTTAAGTGGTAATTAAAAAATAAATATTTTTTGATACTTTTTGGAATTTTCAGTGTTCAATATCAGTAATGTTCCAGTCACTTAAAATTTTACCTCATTTTAAGTGGTGTTGTTTTCAGTGGTATTCAAATTTCGTTATCAAATACACTTAATTGGATAAACGCTTAATCTATTCAGAATTAAACGTTAAATTTTAAATTATTAATTCTAAATTAAGATTTTTTTTTTGACACTTTTTAAAATTAAAATTGTCCAGCATCCAATAATAATTGATTTTCGATCATTACTTAAAAATATACCTTTCTATTGGTCACAAACCCATCTAATTAAATAAGTAATTGAATATATTTAGAATTAAGTATGAATTGATAATCAAATATCTCCTAAATCTCTTATCTTTTCTTTTGTATCCGCGTAAGAAAACTACCATGATAGGAATAGGGTGTACAAAAAATCAATTGAATCGACGAATTGGACCAAACAAGAGCAGGAAGTTTGGTTTGATTTTTTCACGGTTTGGTTTGATTACGGTTCCAAAAATATTAGTTCCGGTTTGAAGTTCTATAAGACTAGACTAAGCCGAATCGAACCGCTTTATATATTGTATATATTTTGTATTATATAAGTAATAAAATAATAAGATTAGCTTTTTAACCACTCAACTTGTAGAAATTGGACACGTGGAGGCGGCCAAAATGTCTTGAAATGAAATTTAAGTAAATTTTTTTTTTTTTTTTGATTGATTATTTATTTTCTGAATGGAGGCAATGGAATATGACCAGGACAATTCTTGCACTTTCAAGACGTCGACTAAATAGTTTTATAATTACATTTTTGTTTTTTTTTTTCCTTATAAGAATGATATTTAATGCAATTCAAAGTATATTATAGATTAAATAAAAAAAATAAAATACAAAAAATACAAAAATAATAAACATGTAACGTTATACTCTAAATTAATAATTTCATTCATGATTAAATGAATGAAATGAACAAAAAAAAAAAAAAAATTATTACATATTCACGCTAAGTGACATAATCTTTTTCAACCGTTGTCGCTCTCACACTCCGAATGCACTTCCGGCACTTGCTCAAATTATCATTTTCGTGCTCGCTCCCGTTTCCCCGAATGCACTTCCGGCACTTGCTCAAATTATCATTTTCGTGCTCGCTCCCGTTTCCGTTTTACTGTAACTTTCAAGTTGCATTTCTATCTTATTTAAATTTTATTTATTTATTTATCATATTACTATATTTGTATTATGTCATATATGTGTCATGTACCGTTGTACCCATATGGCCTCCCAGCCACCACACCGTGTGATGAGCCCCTACAAATCCCCTCGCCGTCGCCGAGGCAGGTTGAGGAATTGATTCGCAAGGGCTGATCAGATAGAGCATGACCCCACTCTCTCTCCCTCTTATTCTTTTTGGAAAACAAAACTGACCATGGTACCTTTTTCCCCTTTTCATCCTAATCAGAATAGATAGAAAAATAAAGAATCAAATAACGTTGAAAAAAAAGTTATAAGACACCACGCAACAACATATGTCAAGAAAAAATTGATACGCAACACCTTATGTCAAGAAAAAATTAAATTTTTTCTCCTCTTTCTTGTGCTTTTATTTAAAATATATATATATATAATTTTCCACTTTCTAATAGTACTTTTATTTTGCAACATTATAGCCGACTTGAGTTTCACCCATCAGAGCATCTCGCACCAATGAATCCTTCTTCTTCAATGAAGCCCTAGCTCTCACCACTTGTATACAGAAGCTTCTTCAATGGACAAAAGATTAATTTCCCCAAACCCAAAACCAAAACCAAAACCAAAACCCTAGCGATTTGGATTACAATTACCCATGGACCAGCGTCGGACTTCAAGAGTGATCGACCCTAAGGTGCGCCAGGTGGGTTTCTTCGCTCCCACTGCACCACCGCCACCGCCACCGGATCGGACCCTGTCCGCCCCACCCATCTCGTCGTCCCCTCCGGTCTCTGATATCTCTCCGTCCGGCAACTCCCTCTCTCCGGTCATGATTCCCCCGCCGCGCCATGCCTCCGACAACCTTCAGTCCTCTTTGGCTCCCCAGTCGTCGTCACGTGCCGTCGGCGTGCCCGTTCCCGCGTCTACGCTGAGGCGGCCCTCCGCCGATAACGTGGCCGTCGGGAGCTACAACCCGTCCGAGTCTCTCCTCGGGTCTTCTCCTGTGCTTTCGCCTTCGGCTTCGGCAAAGGTGGTCGACGGAGAATTCTCAGAGGACTCCGTCAATTGGATTCGCCGAAGCAATTCGGGGAAATTCGCTTCCTCTATCCCGAGGGCGTTTGATACCACCGCATCAACCAAGCCTCAAGGAGTGTCTGGTATTTATAGACTCTCAACCCTCATATCAGACAATGCATTGATTTCTTTGTTTTGGTAGATAATTTTGAAACTTTGGAATTGAATAATCTGAATCTCAAATCTCATTGGGTGAAACAGGAACACAGAAATAGACGATGAAAATGGTTTGACTCTGAATTCCAGTTGTTTGGTTAAATTTGGAATGTTTTGGTTTAGGATGTAAACATTTTAGATATTTGATTTTTAATATTTTCTTGTCATTTTGGCTAGCTAACTACTTGTCCGGCTGATTTTAGAATTTGATTAAAAATTAGCTAAAAATATGTACTCCTCTCGTTACATAATTAAGAGAAGTTGTAGCTGCTTTCCATATTATTTGAAGTTCAGGAAAAGCTTGATATTATTATAGTGATAATGTATCAGCCAGAAGCTTCAGAAACTATGCTAAAAAGTAAATACGATAATCTTGTCATACATTTGAGCAACTTGCTACAGTTTACATTTTATTCCTAATATCCTTACAGTGGTTTTATTTACTTTTATGATGTTACTCGAATAATATTAAATAGAATTAATGGGAGGAAAATGAATGAAGAATAGAGGAGATTATTTTATTAGTATCATGAGGAAATGTTACAAGAAGATCAAGGGTCTATAACATGGGATTCACGCACCCATGGGCTGGGACTCAGCCATCAACAATTGGACCACGAGCCAATATATGGGGCTAGAAAGCTACACACACATATTTGGAAATAAAATACTAGCCAATAGGAAGAAAATTCAAATTAAAGGTAGTTTCTTGCATCCTACATCATTTTTGTATGTTTTTTTAATTTTTTAAAGAAAGAAATTTTTTTTTCTCAGAAAACGGCAGAAGGAGCTAGAAGGCATTATATTTGATTAAGTTGAACATATGATTTGCTTGTCATAATATTTGTGAAGCATACTTGATTAAAACCTAATTTTTATACTTCCACCAGGTATGTTATGCTTTATTTTACAGCTAGATGGGTGGAGACATGTATCCAGCCTCACGACACAGACTAAAGAGGCAACGTTTGTGGTAGACAATAATTTTCAAATAATTAACTTTCTACATAGTTGGTCCAAAGATTGGAGAAAGGAAGAGCTTCATGTTAGGTAGATGGGTAGTGTTGAACTTAGATCTTCATTTCCTAAAGAGTGTTACATGAACTAGGAAGGAAAAAGATAAAGTTAGTGTAGCGGAAGCGCATGAACATCGAGATCCAATGAAAGCCAACAAAACAATCACAATTCACAATCAAACACAAGATATAACGTGGTTTGCCCAAAATCGACCTGCATCCACGGATGAGAAGAGATTCCACTATGATTATATAGATATATTATAACAGTAGAGTACTAACACTACGTGCATGCATTTTTTCCATGGACCATGCCGATCCCCTCCCTATAAGCGTCATCGGTGTTTTTCCTACTTGACCAACTCATAAACTACACCATCAACTCCCTTATGAGACTACATCTCTCTCTACACTTAACCTCAACCTAGATAACTATTTACCAAGTCCAAAAATCCAATTCCTTGTTTGACAAGGATTTCAATTCCTTAGAGTCTAAGACTTGCCTAATAAGAAATTACATAATAAAATACATCTCTAAAATAGAAACCTAATTACAGTAGAATCTGAGACACAATTCCTAACAATCTCCACCTTGGCTCAAATTCCAAATTAGCTAATCATCGCTTCACGTAGCAATTGAGTCGGACAATTCATGCGGCTTCAATCTTGCGGAACTCTGAACATTCCCATTATATGCTGCCCAAGGCTCCACCTTGACTTCTCTAACTCCATGCCATGTAACCCATCATGATTTTTTGACCATTGTGATCAAACAAGCTGATTGATTGACTCCATCTGCTACTTAAACCCATTGCAGCTTTTGTTGAGAAGACTTGTGTTTTTCTGGTTCTCCTTCAAACAAAAGACGAACATCTCAACACGAACTGTTGGCTCTCATACCAATTTGTTGGTGCTGTGGAAGCGCGTGAAGATTGAGATCCAATGAAAGCCAACAAAACAATCCCAACCAAGCACAAGATATGACGTGGTTCGGCCAAAATCAGCCTACATCCACAGATGGGAAGAGATTCCACTATGATTCTGTAGAGATATTACAATAGTAGCTTACCAACACGCCTTTTTATCATGCACCACTCCACAAGCCGGTCCCCTCTCTATTAGTGTCACCGGTGTTTTTCTTGCTTTACCAACTCATAAACTTCGTCTACCCATCAACTCCCTCACGCGATTACATCTCTCTCAATCTCACAACTCTCAACCCTCAACCTATATATTTATTTATAGACAAAAACCCAATTCCTTGTCGGACAAGGATTACAATTGCTTAGAGCCCAACACTTGCTTAGCAAGAAATTACGTAATAAAATACAACTCTAAAATAGAAACCTAATTACAATAGAAAACACAATTCCTAAAAAAAAATGTGAATAGTGTTAGTTGAAATAGACATACTTAAAGTTCAGGTGCTTTTTTTTTGTCTAACATTCTTACAACTAAACAAAGTAAATTGTGGTAAAATGGATCAAATTTTACTAACTGCATTTCATTCAGATTGGAAGAAATTATGGATCAATTGCAATTCAGACTGAGCTCTAATAGGGTATGCCAAAGTCCAACTGAGTTGAACCTTCAACTCACGATGCTCTTGCTCGTGGGTAGTTTGATCTTCACTTCATGAGCTCAAACTAAGCTTTGGTTGCTTTTGCAGAATACACAATAAACTCAATTCATTATTCATCACATGTAACTTGAATTTCTCTATCTCATTAATAGCCTCTCATGATTTTCCAGTTGCAGCAAATTTAACTTTATATTCAACACGAAGAGTGGCTAAAAAACTTTTTAATTCAATACGCTTTTAGCATTTGATAAAAAAGTTTAACGATGAAGATATTTGACCATTAGGAGAGAGAAAGTAAAGGAGATTGAAGCATAGTTGGATAGAATGCCAAAGTGATGCAATACCCCAACAAGATCAGCACTACAACATCAAGCATGGCTTTTGATTTTTCGCAGATTGGTTCTTGTGTGGCTTTGGCAATCCCATTAATACTTGCCTGTTAACTTAATCTGTACCAGAGGCATTTGTCCTCTCTTTATTCTATGTAAAAGTATGTCTTCTCTTTCTTCTTTCTCTATATAGATTTGAAGAAAAAGAAGTGAAAGAATGTATGAGAGAGGTGCTTCAGCTAAGAGATGGTAATGAAATAATTGAAGAATTAGTCTTCATTATTTAAAGGGCATAACAATCCTTTGTGGAAGCAAGTATTTCATATTGCAAAGTTTTTTTTAAGAAGTAGCCACGGTTGAGAAAAAAATTAACTATCTTATATTTCATTAGGTCTATTTAGTCGGTTTTTGGTTCCTAATCATGTATTGAATATAGATATTTTTTTGATAAGTAAAAATCGATTAGAAAAGCGTTCAAAAGGGGAACGCGTCCCTAATACAAAAAAACGAAAGTTGAACCTAAGGACCAATAGAGTCCAAAAGGTCAACTAAGTCATCAGTCGAGGAGCAAGCGCTTCCTTTCACATAACAGAAAATAGAACGAAGAATATGAATTTTCAAGGTCACCAAAGACGATTCATTTTCTTCGAAATTTCTGCTATTCCTCTCTTTCCATATGCACCACCAAACACAGTGTGGAACTATCCTCCAATAGTCACGACCGTGACTTTTCACTTTTCATCTTCTCCACGCGTTAATCAGTCCTATGGAGGACTGAGGCATTACCCAATGTATGCCAAAAATGCCGAAGATGAGGTTCCAACAATCATATGCTCCAGGGCAGTGCCTAAGAATGTGATCCACAGACTCACCGTCTGTTTTATATAGACAACACTAATTAACAATAGTGTTACCTTTCTTTCTCAAATTGTCCAACGTCAAAATCTTGCTCCAGACGGCAGTCCAAACAAAGAATGCGACTCTTAAGTGGAGCCTTAGAAAGCCATATAGTCTTCCATGAGAAATCATGACCAACGAAATTGGACAACGACAGAACATGGATCGAACAGCAAATCTACCATGGGTGGATGGGACCCACAAAATGTCATCATTTTCTTTGCCAATATCCTTCTATGGATACAACAAATCCAAAAAAACACATACCTCGTCCATCTCCCAATCCTGAAAAGAATGCCTAAAACGCACATCCCACGTAACCCCACTGCTATCAAGCCGATAACAGTTAGCTACGTAGGCGTGCCTATTTTCGGAAATACTATAAAGTTTAGGAAAGGAATAAGACAACAATTGATCTCCACACCATAAATCCTCCCAAAAGCGGACGCGCCTACCATCACGAACCTTGAATCTGGTGTGTGAGGAAAAGACATCCCAATCCTTCCGAATGAATTTTCACACATTGACGCCTCCCGCAACAGAGACTGGATGGGAGGACCAGCCACCACTCTCTTCCCCAAAATGACACGAGACAATCCTTCTCCACTGGCGATGTCGTTTTCTACCGAATCTCCATAACCACTTTCCCAATAAAACTTTATTAAAAGGAACCAACTTTCAGATGCCTAAACCACCTAACTTCAAGGGTTTGCAAACTTGCTCCCAGTTAACAAGATGATACTTGAACTCCTCGCCCCTTCCACCCCATAGAAAGTCCCTTTGAATTTTTTCAATCCTTTCAGCGACAGAGCATGGGACTTGAAACAAAGATAAAAAGTAAGTGGGAAGGGACAAGAGAGTACTCTTAATAAGAGTGACCTTCCCCTCTTCGATAGATATTGCTTATTCTATCCTGCCAACCTCTTCTCATACGTATTGATCACCGGATCCCAGCTCCCCACCCTCCTAGAGGAAACCCCCAAAGGCAATCCCAAATAAGGAAGAGGAAAAACACCCACCCCACACCCAAGAATTGCAGCTAAGGAGGAAATATTTGGAACATCCCTTACCGAGACGAGCACACTCTTTCCAACATTGATCTTTAGCCCATAAATCGTCTGGAAACAAACAAGTATGCACCTCAAATATCTAAGGTGGGAGACATCGGCATCATAAAAAACCAAGGTATCATCTGCAAACAACAAATGGGAGATCTCTATCTGATAAGCTACATCTTTGCCGACTTTGCCCCCTAATATAACCCAAATCCTCCGCTCTCCTAATTAGTCTGCTCAAACCCTCCATGACTATAAGGAATAGCAAAGACGACAAGGGGTCTCCTTGTCTCAAGCTCGCAAAGAAACCAGCAGGAAATCCGTTCACAAGAATAAAGAACATGACGGACGAAATACATGTTTCGATCCATTTCCTCCACCTATCTCCGAACCCAATCCTCTGAAGCAAGTAAAGAAGGAACTTCCAATTGACGTGATCATAAGCTTTCTCAATGTCAAGTTTGCATAAGACACCAGGGACCCACTCTTCAACCTGGAGTCTACACATTCCTCTGCTATAAGAACAGAATCCAAGATCTGCCGTCCTCCAACAAAAGCATTCTGGGACTTCGAAATAACTCCATCCAATACATTACTCATCCTAAGAACAAGAACCTTGGCAATAAGCTTGTATATGCCTCGCAGTAAGCTATACATATTGAATATATTATGTGGAAGTTTTTTAGTCCAAATCTGGCACGAAGTTGAAAAAATATTGCCCAAGCCCAATCATCATTTGGGTTGGACTTGGTAGGTTGATGAGAAGGGCGGTGGACTTGGGTTTTACAAGGGGCTTCAAGATCGGCCCCTACTCCGTTCAGCAGATGGGGATTTCTCACTTACTCTTTGCGGATGACAATATTGTTTTTTGCAAGGCAGAGGTGTCCCAGTTGAGGTGTCTTCGTTTGCTTTCAGGTTGTCTCTAGTTTGAAAGTCAACGTGGGCAAGAGTGTGCTTGTACCTGTGGGGAGGTTCAGGAGGTGGACACTCTGGTTGCTGTTTTAGGGTGTGGGACGCAACGCTTCCCTATCTCGTATTTGGGTTTGCCGCTGGGGGACTTGGCCAGGAGGGTGGGAAGTTGGGACCCGGTGATTGAGAGGGTCGAGAGAAGATTAGCTAGTTGGAAAAAGCAATATCTCTCCAAGGGTGGTAAAGTTATGTTAGTGAAAAGTATCTAGTCAAGCCTCCCAACGTATTTTCTTTCGCTTTTTCGGGTTCCAGCCTCGGTTGTTGGACGTCTTGAGATGCTTTAACGAAACTTCCTTTTGGGTGGGGGGGGGTTCGGGGGGAGTTTAAGTGAAAAGTATCTTGTCAAGCCTCCCAATGTATTTTCTTTCGCTTTTTCGGGTTCCAGCCTCGGTTGTTGGACGTCTTGAGATGCTTTAACGAAACTTCCTTTTGGGGGGGGGGGGGAGTTTAAGTATCATCTTGTCAGATGGGAGCAGGTTTGCAGGCCATTTCAGTTGGGTGGGCTTGGGATTAGGAGATTGGCCCCCTTTAACAGTGCTCTCCTCGGTAAGTGGCTTTGGAGATTCGGCAGTGAAAGGCATAGATTATGGAGAAGGGTAATTTCTTGTCGCTTTGGGGAGGAGAGAGGGGGGTGGTCAGCTAGGCCAATCAGGTTTGCTAGTGGAGTGGGGGTGTGGAGGGCCATTGGAAACGGATGGGATAAGTTTTCTAAACATGTTAGATTCAGAGTTCGGGATGGAAGGTTTGTCCGGTTTTGGGAGGATCCCTAGTGCGAGGATAGGCCTTTGGCTCTTTTGTTTCCAAGGCTGTTTAGGATTGCTGTTGACAAGCATGCTATGGTTGCTAACTGCTATCGCCTTGATAGCGGGAGGTTGTCTTGGGATGTGCGATTTTGGCGATCTTTTCAGGATTGGGAGTTGGATGATGTCACTGGCTTGTTGGCTCTCTTGTACAGACAAGAGGTGGAGGGCACTGGTGTTGACTCCCTGATTTGGGTGCCTTCTACTCAGGGGTTGTTCTAGGTCCGGTCTTTTTTTTGTGTGCCTCTCTGGTTTTCATGGCGTTACCTTCCCGTGGAAGACGGCGTGGTTGTCCAAGGCGCCTCTTAGGGTTGCCTTTTTTGTGTGGACTGCAGCTTGGAGTAAGATTTTGACTTTGGACAACTTGAGGAAGCGAAGACATGTTATTGTTAATCAGTGTTGTCTTTGCAAGTTGAATGGGGAGTCAGTGGATCACCTGCTGCTGCATTGTCCTGTGGCTCATGATTGTTGGAGTTTCATTTTTGGTCTGTTTGGTATTCATTGGGTCATGCCTCGGACTTCTCGGGAATTGCTGGATATTTGGAGGGGCAAATATGTAGGGGCTCAGGCGAGAGTCTTCTGGAGGGTAACCCCTTTTTGTGTTTGGTGGAGCATTTGGAAAGAGCGGAATAGAAGATTTTTTGATGGGAAGGAGTCCTCCACTGGGGTGTTGAAATTTTCTATTATTTGTACTCTTTTTTGTTGGGGTTGGGGGAGAGATTTTTCCTCTATTGAGGATATTGTGGACCTTTTGGGCTCTTTGAGATCATAGGTTCCGCTTTATTTTTGTATAGCTTGGGACGCGTTCCCCTTTTGAACGCTTTTTAATACATTTTACTTATCAAAAAAAAAAAAAAAAATCATTTGGGTTGGGGTTGCATTGTTTCGGATTGAACCCTACCGAGTTGCAGTTTGAATTCTACCTGGTTTATGTTCATTGTTGCCCTACCTGTCAAAGTCCAAAGCTAATGTAACACATTTAGAATTAAAGCAGTAATCACTTCCGGAATTTGATGTCATCCCCAGCCGTAGAGAGGAATCCATTGTCTGCACCATCCCGAAGTGGTTGAGTGGATCTGACATTTTGAATCAACCACTATTTTGGTGTATGAATGTTATGTTCCTAACTAAGTGTTTTGTTTCATTGAAGCATTTGGATTTTAATGGCGGTGTGCTGATTGATTTATTTATTAGTTATTTTTGTGGGGAATAGCTTTTCTGATCTGGTTACGTTTTTTGAGGGGAACTTTGCTCATTTTAAACTTCCCATTTGGGAATTATGAAGTGTTGATTAATTTGATTTGAACTTATGCCGAAATTAATGGTTTCCTGTGATTCTGATTGAAGACGGAGGTGCCTTTCTTTCAGTTAGATGAAATGTTTTTTTCTTTTTGTTTTTTTCCCCGTTGTGCATATGAACTGTAATTGAAGAATGATTGGCTATTTGGCTGCAATACAGATGGAGGTGGCAGAGAATAAGAGAGGTAGAATATTCCTAGAACCCCAATTGGACCCATTATAAAAGGTGTATTTACCCGATATAGGTGGTTCAAGACCAATTGTCTTTTCACTCATTCAGGAAATTAGCAAAAAACTACGTACATGTTTATAATATGAAATTTTAAAGCAATAAATAAATAAATTAGCTCTGGCTTATTGCTAGTGATAACCTTTTCTTAATAAGTATTACTACAAGAGATGGCCGAATTATATATATGATTTGATAGGTTTCACTGCCTCCTTATGTGAGTTGAAATTAGTGATATTCTTTCTAATTGAGCTTAACTTTTATGGTAACTGGTATAGAATTTGCATAGATGTTGTTTTCTGTTGATACAGTTGTTCTGTTGCTTGTCTCTTATAAGTTGCATTTTTTGGAAAAAATGCAGAAAAGGGTGGAGAAACATTTGAATTATTGGAAAGTGAAAAGCTGTCAAGCTCAAAACAATTGAAAGAGAAAACAACAAAAGCTGAAAGACGTGCTCTGCAGGAATCTCAACGAGCTGCAAAAGCTGCTGCGAAAGGTTTAAATGATGATTTTCTCTTCTTTTAATTAACAATTATTGAAAATTAATTATGCTACCATTTGATTAGTATCCCAGACTTCAGAAAATACTATCTGTCATTTTTATCAGTTATTTTTTATTATTAGCCTTCTGTAATAAGTTTTCTTTGGTTGACTAACATATCTACCAAAGAACTTCTTCTCTAAATAGTTCCTTCTTCATTAGTTCAATGGAACCATTTGATACATGTATATATAAATCTTTCTGTTTTTAATATTTTGGTTTTTTTCTTGGGGATATCTTAGTGGTTTGATTTCTATTAACATGTTAACACATGCTTAAAACTTGTGCAAGATCAGGTCTTTTTTAATAAATTATTGAACAACCTATTCATAGAGCTTCATTCAATTAAAATTTGCCTTCATCTGTTGTTGCTTGATTATTTGATATGTTGGTTAGTGGTCCTAATCAGTAAAGGCGTACTGGAATCTTTAAATAAATAGAGAATACCTTTTGATAACAAGCATACATGTGTGCTAATAATTTTGATTGGGTATTTAATTCTTTGAGAATCCATACGGTTATTAACCATATTTTTTCAACCAGTTCTGGGTCCCTCATGTAGTAGATTTATATGGTATCTTCTTATTTTTATTTTGAGTTCATAATTTCTTTCAGGCCTCATGTTGCCAAAACAAAATTTAGCCCTGTTGAAACTGTATTTTATTTTGTTCGTATGCTTTGATGAGAGAACATAGTACAAAAGATAGGAACTTGTCAAGTAGCAAATAATGTATAAGAATAAAGACAGATCATATAAGCTAATCTAGGTCTGTCCCAAATAATGAATGATTCTAAATAGTCATCACTATTCTTGTAGCTGATCTACCACTTCAGGTTCAATGTATGAAGAAATAATACAATAAATAAAGAATGGGTTGTAGTCTAGTTGTATCTCCTCTACCTCTAAAAGTGGAAGGTTGAGGGTTCAAGTCCCCATAGAGGCAGGGTGAGTGTGTGTGTATTACAGTATTTGTCAGGATATAACAAATATATAAATGAATTAAAAAAATAAAGAATACTGAATGGAAAATATTCATAAGCACCCTCTGTACCAATATTATGCCCCCTGCTCTAGCCAATGGTGTTTGAGATTCATGTTCAGGGCTTCAAATGTGTACAACCAAAACAATTGAGTAACCAATCAAGCACCAGCTGCTTACCCTTAGAAGAGCCACTGTGTCTGTTTGTCTAGAGATTTTTGAGCACTGGAAAAAATGTTTTCAGATGTTGGCCGATGTCCCAATTTTACTGGTATGACAAAAATAAGCTGATTTTTTGGCTGGAGAGTAGTATCTGTCATGGTCTGTGTTAGCCAATATCAACTAAGTTGCACTGTAATGGCTCTATTGACCAGCTTTGTTTGCCAATATTGACTAATATCGAGTTGTTTCTTGGTTTCTAAGGTGAAGGTGACTTATTTAGGACTTGTCCATATGCGTTTGGAGTATTAAAACTAGTGTTTTTTTATTTAATTTTTAAGTAATCTTGAAACAAGCTACGGATGGAAAACCTAAAGCAAAGCTTCTTAAATCTACAAAAGTTTAACTCATTTTTTTACTATTAAGTACATTGATAATTCCCCCATCCCCAATTTTATGCTTATTTTGCAGGAAATTAAAGAATTGTTTACTATACTGAAATGATAACAAGGCTTAGACAATGTAAGTAAGATAAAGACCAAGAGAATTCTTAGAGATTTTAAGGATATCATTTGGATATTGGTAAGAGACTATGTTACCTAACTCGGGTAAGTTTATCGGGTACACATGTGTTGTAGTGTAAGGGCCTACTCAAATCCAAATCTTACAATACAGGAATATGTGTCCAAAATTTGGATACGGGTATGTAGACATGTAATGCGCATTTACTTATTATAGTGTAATGTTTAATATTGTTGTTTTATAAGAAATTACTCAATTATTACTGAAATTAAATGAGATGTGGTAAAATAAAAAGGTTTCCATCTATCATAGATAGGGAATGAATATCTGCCCTTAAATTTGAGTTTTTACTTCTTCAACGATCAAGCCATTTGATGGATCGGGGTGTTTGATTTGGGTTCATGTCTTGGACACATATCTTGTACCCATACCCATGTTGTGTCGTGTCGACTAGGGTACGTGAAGGGAAATAAGAGAGTCCATGTAGATTCTGACGATCGATAATTTGAGGAAAAGGGGAAATTGTTTTGTTAATCGGTGTTACCTAGCAAGCAGGATGGGGAGTTAGTTGATCATCTCCTAATGCATTGCTCTGTAGTGCACGATTGCTGGAATCTTATTCTTGGCCTGTTTGGCATGTGTTGGGTAATACCACGTTCTACTAAGGAGTTGATTCATGCCTGGAAAGGTTGTCGTGTGAGTTAGGAGTGTTTGTGATTATTGGAAATCTGTCCCACATTGTGTTTGGTGGTGCATCTGGAAGGAGAGAAATAGTAGAATGTTTGAAGGGAAGGAGTCGTTTACAGCGACACTGAAACTTTTTATTATTCATTCTCTCTTTAGTTATGTGAAGAGGAGTTCTTGTTCCTCTTCTGATGACTTAATTACTTTTTTGGATTCTTTGGGGTCTTAGACCCTGGTTTCTCTAATGTTTTTGGGATGCGTTCCCCTATTGAATGCCTTTTTAAATTCATTATTACTTATCAATATATATATATATATATATATATATATATAAAAAGGTCAAGGAAGTCTCAGAATGATCTACTTTGAGGTGATACTGGTTTTGGTATACACCATGATATTTTAAAAAGGTATTTATTTATTTATTTCATTCTTATTTTTTTTTTTTTGTTGTTGTTGCATCCTCTGGCATCCTATATTATTTCTGGTCAAGTATATGAAAAGGAACCATAACCCTGTAGATATACACAATTCAATTGAATACAATAATTCTACTAATCTCAAAGGGGTCTAAGAGAGTTCTATTTGTTATCAATCTTTTATGGAAGTTGGATTAGCTTGTATGTCATAGAACTGAGGTTTGTAGCAACAATACCTGACATATAGAGTATTGGAATGCTCTGTTTTATAGGTTTGGATATTGAAAGTGCTATAATATTAAATAAATTTCGGCTCTACTGCTAGATGAGTTGCTGGATGTAAGCTGTACTTTTCCTGGAACACCCCAAATCAAATATAAGTATAAAAACAAATTATACAAGGGACTCCTGTAGTTCGAAAGCCTAAAGGCAATTTGCCTTTTGTGCTTGACTTTGCTTATTTATTCTACTATGTTTAGTTTTAGTAAGGATTATTATTGTAATGTGTTTGGTGGTACCTATGAATCATCATTTTTTTGTGGTTATGCACATGACTTACAAGTTACGGTTCGTCATCTTATTGAAGAAATATTTGTAGCTGAGCGAATATATCTATTGCTGCTTCAGGAGGAGTGGCTCCAGCACATGAAAAACCGGGTAAAACTGTGAAGCAGGCTTCACAAAAGAAGGATGGTCTCCCAATGAAATCTGCAGCAGTTCCTCAAAAGAAAGGTGGTGATCGACTACCTGAAAAAGATAGGAAGAAAGATGTGCCCCCTCCGCGCATGCAGTTTGATAATAAGAGTCGAGTGGAAAAGGCTAAAAGGCATGCAATAGTCAAACAAACTGAAGCTAGAAACAGAGTTGAATTGTTTCGGCATTTACCTCAATATGAACATGGAACCCAACTTCCTGAACTTGAGTCAAAGTTTTTCCAACTAGATCCGATGCATCCTGCTGTTTACAAGGTTTACCTTACAAAAAAAAAATTAAATGATTCTCAGTGCTTCAGTTCTGCTTGTTCTAATTGTGTACTTAGAAGCATAATTTTTGAAAATTGAAACATGAGTATTCAACTTCTAGTCACATGACAAGTGGGCTTAAATATCTTTTTTCACCATGTTATACAAACACGTATGCTTTTACTTGATAAAAAAGAAAAAGAAAAAGGAAGTAGATATAAATTTATGTCTTCTTCTTTTTTCTTTTTTAAATTATATATACACACGTAGATATATCTAACTGTTTGAGGCACCAGAACTTGTATCATGTTTAGTGGAGTTCATGCTGTCATGCCAGGCACCTGTATTTTTATGGACACTGTTCTCATACTAGTCTCCTTACATAGGTTTATTACACTTGATTTCTAGTCTCTTGTCCAATGTTGTTATGTATTCACTTTATAGACATGGATGACAACATAAATGTTCTTCTAAACAACTAGAACTTTGCTATTGTGGCTGCTGAATTATATTTGTATATCATCAAATTCTAAAATAACATAACAATAATGATTTTATTTGAACTTTTTCCAGGTTGGAATGCAATATTTAGCAGGAGATGTATTTGGGGGTAATGCTCGTTGTGTTGCAATGCTTCAGGCATTTCAGGAAGCCATTAAAGACTATTCCACACCTCCAGAAAAAATTCTCGCTAGAGATTTAAGTTCCAAGGTCAATAGTTTCATTTCATTTTTGATTGAATGCAGGCCCCTTTCTATCAGTATGGGGAATGCTATTAGGTTCTTGAAGGCTCGTATTGCCAAGTTACCCCTAACTCTAGCAGAGTCAGAAGCAAAAGCCTCTCTATGCTCAGACATTGATCGTTTCATTAATGAGAAAATAGTACTTGCAGACAAGGTGATAGTCGGTCATGCCGTTACCAAGATCAGGGATGGGGATGTTCTTCTCACATATGGATCATCCTCCGTTGTTGAAATGATTCTGTTACATGCCCATGAGCTAGGTAAACAATTTCGTGTTGTGGTGGTAGATTCACGCCCAAAGCTGGAAGGCCAAGCATTACTCCGTAGGCTGGTGGCAAAAGGCCTGAGTTGTACATACACTCATGTAAATGCTGTTTCTTATGTCATTCATGAAGTCACAAGAGTTTTTCTTGGGGCTGCCTCTGTATTGTCTAATGGAACTGTATACTCAAGGGTTGGAACTGCATGTGTTGCTATGGTTGCTCATGCATTCCGTGTCCCAGTTATGGTTTGCTGTGAAGCATACAAGTTTCATGAAAGGGTACAGCTTGATTCAATTTGCTCCAATGAGCTAGGTATGTCTGTTCTCCTCCACATGTATATGGGTTGTGACCCTTTTTTGTCCACTCAATATATATTTCTATTTATAAAAAGAAATTCGGCATTTTTTAATCTAAATTAATGGATGTTCAAATGGTTGTTATGTTTTAACTATATAACCTTTAATTCTTTTTTTAGCAAGTATATGACCTTTTACAGAGGCAGAGAGTCTGAGGTATAGCTCCTAGGCCTAAATATGTATAATGTTTGCAGGTAATCCAAATGCCATTGCTAAGGTTTCAGGGAGAATGGATGTAAATTATTTGGATAATTGGGCCAATAAGGAAAATCTGCAACTCCTGAATTTACTGTGAGTTCCTGAATTCTAATGGTAAATAAATGAAACTTTGTATTTTGCTACTGATTCTGAAAATGTTTCTTTTGGTGTAACTTTAACAGTTATGATGCCACTCCTGCTGACTATATCTCTATGATCATCACAGATTATGGCATGGTGAGTCATATTTCGATTTTGTGTTAAAATTTGGAAGTTCATTTTACATTTTCAAGCATGCCACAGAACATAGTTTCTTAAGAATGTATCCTTTTTTCTTGCTTAATGTTTTCTATCTATTTTTGCCATATATTGTTGGTAATGCTGTTTATCGATACAGAAAACATGATAATGGTAAAACATGTGCACAATATTCCAACTTTTGGCTTGGAGACTACCCAACGAAAGAAAACTTTTACAAGACTGCAGTTCCTAGTCTCAATTGATCTTTCGGGGACGGCAGCATTAGTTTTGCTCTGTCATTCTAGCCTGTTATGTGTGCATGCCATGCGCTGACACATGCATGTATATGGTTTAGAAGGTGAGAGCTTAGTGCAATGTGTAAAGTTCAAATTCATTCTATGGAATTCTAGTGGTCCATAAAGGGTGGTGATATTGGTTGGATATCTTAACTCCTGGATTGAAATATTCAATATTTAGTCTCCATCAAAACATTGGGATGAGAAGTGGATAAACGTGATGGAAAAATCTTAAAAACTCAAAGTTTGAACGGTTGTTGCTTGGTCAAAAAGGGGGCAGGGATTGTTTTCTTGGTTGTATTTTAACTTTCTGAATTCTTTGAAGGTATACTTTTGCATACTGATGTAGAACGCAAAAGCTCTAATACCAAATTTGACACGACTGGTAGGCTTGCTTTAATACAATTTTAGAACGAGAGTGAAAGAAGGGGATGGGGAATAGAAGATGAGATCAGACTAGAAGAAAAGGGGGAGAAACAGATGAAGGGATGAGGAAATAGAGTGAACAGATAGATGAACGCAAAACTCTGATACCAAATTTGACGCATGACTGGTGGGCTTGCTTTGATACAATTTTAGAACTAGAGTGAAAGAAGGGGGTGGGGAGTAGAAGAGGAGATCAGACTAGAAGAAAAGGGGGAGAAACAGATGAAGAGGATGAAGGAATAGAGTGAACAGATAGTCCAGACTGACTGAAGGGTAAAGAACAGCAAGAATCGGGAAAGAATTTGAGGGAAGACCTGTGAGACTCTCTAGTCTCAATATACTTCCAATATAATCTCAATCCAAGACTACTATTCAAAATTGAATATCTTTGTTACATATATGCCTATTTCTGGCATCAAAAGCTTCCTTAATACTAAGGGAACACAAAATATCTAAGACACCTTAATCGGTAAAAAAACATATAATATTTCAGTCAAATACACAAAAAAAAAAAAAAAAAAAAAAAAAAAAAAAAAAAAAAAAATCCCTGCAAGAAGATTGAGTGCAGCCTTTATCTGCAGACATAAAATCCAGCTTGCATTCAGCCTTCTCTTGACTGCAATCTTTGTAGAATATTGAACCCAGCCTTCTCAAGAGCTGAATACAGCCTGTAAGATGGTCACCTAGGTCTAGCGTAGGTCTGCAGGCCTATCTATGCTATGCATCAATCTCCCTGACCCAAAAGAACTCTTCTTCGGAGAGTAAAACTGGTGATTCTGCTCTGAATCTGGACGACCTTTCCATCAAACAAGATAGTGGTAAATACTTCCAACATGTGCAACATCACTCTGATGGCCAATAAGATTATCAATCTGGAGGTGTGGTAGAAATGGAGCAACAACTGATGCTGAAGAATATGCAGTTTCACCTATGGGATAAAACGTCAATAAAACAAGAGGCTCAAAGGTGCTTGGTTTGGTGACATGTAATCCACATAAAAAATTTGAATTATTACTCACATCTGATGACAAGTTAGATAAATATGCATTAGGTCTTGTTTTATGAATAATGTGGACTGGTGCAATGACTTGGGTATTCATTGTTTTGAAAGAGTTCTTAGGATAAAATTGTGGGTGCACACGAATTAGAACATAATCTCCTTCAATGAATGCATGATTCCTACTATGAGAATGTGCAGCAAGTTCATAATTTTTCTTACTCAAAACAATTTCTTATATTGAGACTAGTGATTCTCAGTGGTCTTCCCTCCATTCTTCTTTCCTTATTCTTGCTGTTCTTTTACCCCTCAGTCAGTCTAGTCTATCTGTGCACTCTATTTCCTCATCCCCTTCATCTGTTTCTCCCCTTTTCTTCTAGTCTCATCTCATCTTCTACTCCCTATCCCCTTCTTTTATTCTAGTTAGGCGCTTCAGCATAAGAAACCTAATCCTAGGTTATGCTTTATGACCTTAATTTTTGCGTCAATCTGAAGATGAAATGCTGAGGGAAATTTCAAATTGGCTTCTAAAAGTGTCCAAAGTGTCTTCCAAAAATGACTTTTGTATTTGACATCTCTATCTGACACAATGGCAAAATTATCTTGAATGAAGTCATTATTTTTTTTTTTTTGATAAGTGAATGAAGTCATTATTTGAAGTTCGCTTGTTGTTCTGATTCAACACACTTCTTATGAGTCGAGCAATAATGTGGGGAATTAGATGTCTTAGAGTTAATGAGGTGATGAATGAGTGGTAACTTAGATGGAGGTACCTTTGGTGTTACACCCTCAGTTTCATTTATTTTTAGTGACTTTAGATAGTGGGGATTCCAATGCCTTGTTGGATGGAACACTGGGAATTTCCTTCCTTCTTTTGCCAACACATTTTTGTCATCAGATGGCTGAGAAGACCTATATGTTGCTCTAGGAACCCGTTTCTGATGGTCTTGTTGATTTTGCAGGTTTTAGCATTATCGTTTTACCACTATACTTGAAGACAAAGGAATTGCCCCCTTTATAATGGATTGCACCAACATTATAAATCCATGGACAACTAAGGCAACAACTATGAAAGAAAAGAAAAATTGATAAGAAGGAAAACATAGAGCTGGATTAAGCTAACGAATAACTTAAATACTCACAACTCAATCCCAAAGAAGGGGAGTGGTAAAAAGTTGCTACAGCAGACTAGATATATTGATAATACGTAAAAGTCTGCTGAATACAACTTGGAATAACCCTTTTATAAGACACAGGGGATGACCTAGAAAAGATTTAATCATAGCCCTTCATATAAATGTAATCTAAAGGCTATTATTCTGTCGAGCAGAATAAAGAGCTAAAAAATGACAGAACAACCCTTAAATAGTCACATGACTCACTTAAAAGGCACATGACTTATAGAATGAAACCAAAATGACAATAATATCCTAAATATGAAATAAAGACAAGACTTAGGACTTATTTAAATGACTCTAGACCCATAAACAATCACATAAACTGATCACATCATCATCTGCCCCTATTAATGGAAATTCAGTCTAGTCTTCTTAAGATCTTCAACTGCTTGAAGAAAGTCCTCTCTCATTTGCACTGCATCAGTCTCTCTAGGTGAGAAAACTCGTCATCGAGTTAGAAGCAAATTTCCATGATCAATCCAAAATCTGAGCATGGCATTCCATCCCATCGTTCTTCTTTTCTAAACTCGAATCAAATACAATAATCTCCTGATAGTAACAAAGAATACATTTGCAAAATAAACATGGATGTTACTAGATTTTTTTTGAAATTGGGTAGATTCGCAAAACTTGGTGGAACACGTATCCTGAATTAGAAGTTTAATCAACTTAAATTTTTGTTCCAACAACTGCCTAGTAGTTGTAGTGCGCTTGAAGAAGTCACCCTAAATCATATCATAAAAGTGAAATCCATTATTTTCATCTCCATGGATTCAAAAACTTCTTGGAAAGCGCTCGAATCTTCAAACACCAAAATGGCCAGACTTGTATTCTTGCAAAACTCCCCTTGGTGAAAGGTTAAGCACTTCTTGTTTCTCTATTGCGATGTTACCACCACATTCTCACCGCTTCTTTCATTTTGAGATTCTTCTTTTGTAGTTTCCTTCTCAAAGATTGCTAATTGATCCCTATCCATAGGGATTTTTGACTCGTATGATTCAATGTGTGGTTCTTCATAAAAAATTGGAGGCTTACTCCACTCAACGAATGGTTCTACAGTAGTAGATGTTATGAACAAGCATGATTGATCACTTGTTGGATCATTCTCTGAATCATGATAGAAACTTTCCAACCATGGCTCTGCATGCTTGACGAATTTTTTTTTCACTTGTCATCATTGTTATAGATAGGTTCCTCCTGTAGTGGTTGTTCTTCTTCTCCTCCAAGATATCCTACAAATTCAGGAATTGTTACCTTAAAGCCACCATCCCAACGCCTTTCTTCAAATGGAATAGGTGTTGGTCTAGGTGTTGCGTTTCTGCTAAAAGGATTAATAAAATCCTCTTCCAGATTGTTCTCCTCCTCAGATTTGATGCCATCTTGAGAAGGGGCTGGGGTTTGCGCCACTCGCAGGGCTAAAGCTTCAATCTGACTTCTTAGATCTTCTATCACATCAAGCACTTGTTGTTAATCAACTGCTGTGTCTTGATCAGGCCGAACGGCTGGTCTTCGAGGTTGGCTTCTTCTCCTTGGTGGCATGTTGCAAAACCTAAGAGAGAGATGTAATAACCCAACACAAAACCATTGGATCAAAACTTTGCTCTGATACCAACTAATGCAATCAACTATGAAGGAAAAGAAAAATTGATAAGAAGGGAAAACAAAGAGCTGGATTAATTTAGCTAAGAAACAAAAAAGAGCTGGATTAAGATAACGAATAGCTTAAACACCCATAACTCAATCCCAAACAAAGGGAGAGGTAAAAAGCTGCTTCAACAGACCAGATATATTGATAATACGTAAAAGGCTGCTGAATACAACTTGGAACATCCCCTTTTATAAGACACAAGGGATGCCTTAACAAAGATTTAATCCTAGCCCTTCATATAAATGTAATCTAAAGGCTATTATTCTGTCAAGCAGAATAAAGTGCTGAAAAATGACAAAACAGCCCTTATATAGTCACATGACTCACTTAAAAGGCACATGACTTATTAATAAAATCAAAACAACAGTAATATCCTAAATATGAAATAAATGACTCTAGACCCATAATCAATCACATAAATTGCTCACATTATCAGGCTATCAGCTGCCCCTAGTAATGGAAACTCAGTCTAGTCTTCTTAGGATCTTCAACTGCTTGAAGAAAGTCCTCTTCCATTTTCACTGCATCAACAACCAAGTAGAACATGGGCTACATTTGTAGGTAGGACATCACACCATATTTTCTCAGAATAGGCACCCATTTGGATAGGAACCAAGCATCTCTTTAAGATGGTCAAGGAAGTTCCATTTATCCTGGCTATCTTATATGGTTGTGGACAAGGTTCAGGTTGAAGTTTCATTTTAAGAACACTTGATTTAGACACTGCATTTATTGAACTTAGTTTGTCATTAATTATTTGACAAGCTTTTTCCTTACGATTGAGAAATGTGCAAAATATGTTGGTATGCTTCCAAATCACCCTTTCCTAATAATTGTCATTGTTGTAGATCTCAATTTTAATATGATATTTCATGTGATTAGGGAATGGTCCAATCTCATCTAGGTCATCTGAGTAATCAAGTAGATTTCCACACTTATAGATTTGGCGTGTTTGAACAACTGGAGGTCTCATGACAGGACTATGGTTTCGACTCTCCCTAAAATTGGTTCATCTCATGTGAAGGTTTCGAGATGTTTCTGGACTAGCAAACCCAAATGGGACTCAATATGATAATGATGGTGATTGCCTCTAAGGTCATGCCCAAGTGTTGGGGAAACACGTGTCACCCCTAGTGTACTCAATGGGGCATGTGTTTTGCAGATATAGTATGACCTCTTTGCATAGTGCAGACTTTGAAGGTTTCAAGATGTTTCTGGACTAGCAAACATGTAACGATGGTTGTATGTGTTCTCAATATAATAATGATGGTGATTGCCTCTAAGGTCATGCCTAATTCTTGGGGAAACACGTGTCACCTCTAGTGAACTCAATGGGGCATGCTTTTGCAGATAGTATCCCCTCTTTGTTTTAGTGCAGACTTTGCATTAGAGATGTGTCATGGACAATCATAGCGATTTCAATGAGATGGTACAAGCATGAGAATGATTAGAGACAAATGCCAATATAAGACTCAAATTGAGTTAAAGAAACCAAACTATGAACTACCACAATGCACAAGTAAGATACTAGAATGCAACGAAGGATAATTATGCTAAAACTCATGCACAAGGCGTGGGTGTTTAGGTGCAGAACCAATGGTTCTAGGAAAGAGAAAGTATAATAGGTAATGGAAAGAAATGCGGAGCAAATGAAGCAAATAAATGGCTTAAAGATCAAGCATGTTCAATTTAGGACCTACTTGCAAATTTAAAGACTTTCAAATAGATAGAAGTCCAATCACAATTTCTAAGTGGAGTACGTGTTCCTTTACCAAAGTCCAATGTAATGATGCTCCAAAGTGGCTCCACAAAACTGCAACAAATCTTCTGTTTTCTTTCCTTCCTTGCTTGCTTCTTTTTTTTTTTGGTGGGGGAGGGGGGAAGGCAAATCACCTTTATTTCCTTTTCCCTAAATTAGGAGTGAGATAAGTTGGGATGGGAAATGTGTTAAAGAGAGAGAAATTGGAAAGAGGGAGAAGGAAGTTACAGATGACGTGGTGGTCCCGAAGCACCTAAAAATTTTCGGTAATTGTCCAAAACGGTCATTTTACATTATATTCGTTTTATAATATTATTTCATTCTACTGACAGATGGCATTATAGCCTTTTTAAGCGGAGAGGTCCTTATTTGCACCAAATTATAAGTTGGGGGTTGTTTTTAACCACAAGGGAGCATTTGCACTATTTGCTAGTGTAGGGGTGGTTTCTGCATTTAACCCTTCCATATGACATTTCTGTATTGTGGTAGTGCTCTTTTATATATTGGTTTCGCAAAATGGGAGGCTTATTTCCTATTGTCATGTACTTAAAATATGGGCCTCTGCTATATATTTCTCTTGTTTGTCTAAAATGAGAGTGGTGCTCCTTCGTTGGATAGACATGGATTATTCTGAATCTTCTCCCCGTTTTTTTTATGATGTGATTAAATCAATACACATGCATATATGTATATATGTACATATATATGTATGCAAGACAACTCTTTTTTTATATTTTATTCTAGCCAACTGTCATAGTAGGTTCTGGAAATCTTACTGATGCTTTTAACATGTCCTTTCAAAATTTTATGCAAAGTGATAAGTAAATTGATTCATTGGATGAAGCTTATGGATTTATCCAGTAAATTATTACTTTCTAGCTATTGGTTTTGTTGCTATGCGTTTGCGTTGATGAGTGCATTTGATCAGCTAAGGACTTCTCTTTTCTTTCGTTTATTGCATAATCGCAGGTTCCACCCACAAGTGTGCCAGTAATTGTGCGAGAGTATGGGAAAGAGCACCTATTGGTATAAAGGGGTTGCATTATTAGATAAAGAATGAAAGCTATTCAACTTTTGTTTCCCTGATGGATGTCATTTACCGGCTGGTTTCACCATGCATTGGATGATGAAGCTTGCACAAATTTTGAACGCTCTGGATCATTTTCAAAATTTTTTTTTTACAAAAATCTGAATAATTATCTTATGCAATGTCAAAGTTAGCTGATAACTTTCTTTTTGGCATAGTGAAAGGGTGAGTTTTTTTATTTGGGAATGTCGCCTTGTATATAACACAATGGCCCAACCCCACATCTTGTTCGTGGAGTTTAAAGTGAATAGATTTCGACACTGCATTAAGTGGACAGCTTCATAAATGTTGATTGATTACAAGATCTTAATGATTATTCTTCTAGTTATTTTATTAAATCTGCCATCCTTTGACATGACAACTTTTCATAAAATTTTAGCCCTTATTGATCACGTTGGTCCGGAGCGAACTCCTCTCATCTTTGAGGATAAGGGGACCGCTAGGTCCTTTTGACATAAAACCTAACCCCGCTGTTCAAGGCTGTTAAAGAGGACACTATGAAGCTTTTGTTCCCTGTCCTGTCAACACGCGTCAATGCCTTCTCTAGCTAACGGCCGGCATGATTTCAACCTGTGGCACATGATCTGTTGGTTCGATTCAATATGGGTTATCCAATGCGCTGTTGAAGGGGAAGGAAGCACTACAAGAAAAGATTCAAGGACAAAGATGAAATTATGGAGAAAGCACACGGTCCGATTATGTTTCGTTTGATTCATGTTTTTTGAGAAGTTCGTGGAGATTGCGTTTTTGATTGAACATGATCATGATCATGATCAATTTAACTGCTCGTGTGTTTTGCTTGTTACTTGGCAACTACATTTATATCTTAATGGCACATATCATGTTGTGATTCAACCATCCACATGATCAATTTAGCCAATGAAACATGTTTTTCACATAAATATTACTACGTAGATTTGAATACCACCCAATGTTTAAATGATGGGGGCCAACGTTTAATAACCAATTGGATGGACTAAAATTGTGTTCGAGTACATAACAGCAAATTTATAACAGTATCAGTTTTCACAGAGGAATGGAAATGATAAAAAAATTAAATCCATATTATTGTTTGGAGAAAATGGATATTGGACTCAACTCAATAAATGAATAATCATTAACCCACAAGTGCATATAGAGGTTAGATACAACTTCTTTTTTGTGGGCTGGTATTAGTTCTGGAAGAAAAAGACTAACAGAGATCATGGAATTACATAAAACATAAACAGATGGAGTGAATCCGAACTTTTTTCTTTTCCCTTCTTTTTTATGGTAAATGGAGCGAATCCAAACTTAGCAAAGAGAAGCTTCAACCGACCTTTATCCAAAAGCTTGTTGGAACGACACAGAAAGCAGTTCAAAACCCTATCTATTCTTTCATGTTCTAAGAGACTAAATTTATAAGAGAGAGAATGCACTCCGTTATTCAAAAAGCCTCACTATAATGTTACGATATGTAAGCTTTAACTCGCGCAGTTTTTTAGCAATGCGTGCACTGCTATTACAACAGGCCAAAAACAGTAGTTACAGCCCTGGGCTTGTCAAAAATGAAAACGAAAAAGATGCAACTTATAAGCTTCCAATGGGAGTACCTCTTCAGTGTCTCTGAGCAAAAGAATTATACTGTTTAGGACTCCCATTCTAAACATGCATGGGACCATCTTCTGATATCCCCTGAACTCAGTTACAGTTTTCAGCTTCAACCATGAGTCAGCTTCACTTTTTTTGCAGATGGAGACATGAAAAGCTTTTTGATTGAAGAAACGGGATCATCCACCTGAACAGCAGTAATAGAGGACAGAATGATAATTCTCTTCAGACAAAAATACTTAACAAGGGTGTGTATTGGTAAAACAATGCACCTAAATGAAAACAGTGAAACAACGGATGGTATTACTGGGTAAATGGCACATTATGTTGCCACGTGCTTAGTTCACTTGATATCTAAACAGACATGGATTGAGTTGAAATTTCAAACTGATTTTGGTTGATTGTCAAGTATCTCATGTAATTATAATCAACAGCATCTTCTGCTATTAATCAAGGCTAACCAACCATGCAGCACTTTTGTGTCATGTAATTCAATCCCGACTATAGTTCAAGGTGGTGTTTATGTGTCTAACTTCAAACTAGATTGGTTTGAAATGAGGGGTAAGAAAAAGTCTCAAATCTCCATAGGGTGAATACCGGGTGGGCACTGCACGGCCAGTGCTGGAACCATAACTTCTCAGATTGATGTACCCTAAACAAAATGACTTGTGCAAACTTCATTGCTTTTACAACATCAAACTAAACGTTTGATTAATGTATTTTTACAATGTTTAAAACAATTCATTCAAGTCAAATAAAAAAAAAATCAGTGAAATAAATTAGAGAGAATTTAAAGAATTCAATTTCTATTTTTGATTTTTTTCAAAGAAAAAAAGAAGGCATAGGATGACATACATCAACTTCTGGTGCCGTTTATCATAATATTTTCAAGAGATTCATAGGACCATTACTTATAGGAACTCCTAAAACTGGTTCTAGATTATCAAGTTTATAAATGATGGCTACGTAGTGTTAGAAGAAAGATCAGTTTTTCAGGTCGAATTTTTTTATATTTTATATTCTTCATCTGGTAGATCAACTACGTGAAAAAAAGACAAACTAGGGGATATAAGCGAATAAAATTTATTCAAACCGAGTGTATGGTAGAAATGACTAAGAAACCCCCGCTGCCACCCCACCCCCTAACTCCCGCCTGCCGGGGGGGGGGGGGGGGGGGGGGGGGGGGGGGTTTGGGTGGTGTGGTGTGTAAATCTCTTAAATAAGGCTGATAAGAATTGGGTGTCCGAATTTTCTTTCTCCAATCTAAAAGGGTGTGTTTGAATTTTCTTACTCCAATCTAAATGGGCACATTATATATATATATATATTTTTGATAAGTAATGGGCACATCATATTGCATAGGAATCCTACTGAATTGATTCCTATGAATCGCATTTAATGGTTTCCTCAGTTCAGGAGGGGCAAAATTGCCCCTTCTTGACCTCACTATCCCCCATCCCAAATTTACCCCAATTGCCATCTCTTGGTCCAAATGAGTTTTTCTCTTTGCAGAGTATGTTAGCATAAAGGGCGTAGATTAGGTGCTAGTGTATTAGTAATGTAAAAGAAAATTTAGAAGTACCTCAATCAAAGAAGAAGATGGAGCATCTTTGGATGAAGGACAAGAAAACTCCTTCTGACGTTGTAAAGCATACAGTGTTTGTTGCCATCCAGGTGCTGCATTGTCAACTGATGCAATCCAGGGGCAAAAATGTCTGTGCTGCATGATTGGATCAAAAACTATTGCATCATCTAATGGTGCTTGCTCTGGATTCTTCCCTGAAAGAATAGAAGGAGCAAGCTTGTCAATCTTCTCTGAAATTATTATCATAACAAGAAGAAGGGCAATATAATAATTAGCAGTCAAGGTTAACAGTATATATAAGACAAATGCACAAAGTGAAAATATGCTAATTGAAGGAATCGCCAGCATCATGCACCAGTTAGATTCACAATGAGTGGCTTCAGTTTTAGAGGAGGTTGTTGGCGTATCAGAGAGAGAGTTGTGTTCGAAAGAGGACCATGTAATATTAGGAGACATCCCCAATTTCATTTTTCTTTTTGGCTTAAACAGGGGCTCCAATGTGGAGCTTCTGGGTGCTCTCTCTCTCTTGAAAATACATATATTTTTGTTATAATAAAAAATATAATATCAAGAAAGAGGGGGGACCCTGCGGCAGAGTAAGGTTGCCCTATTGGGACCTGAAGGCTGTGGGTTTGAAATGGGAAACAGCTCCTCCACATGTGGAGTAAGGCTGCACACATCTGACACTCCCCATACCCCACAGTGGCATGAAACTCGTGAACTGGGCTGCCCTTTATAAAACGAACCAAGAAAGAGTGATGAGTAAGAAGCGTAATTCCTTCTTCTTCTTCTTCTTTTTGTTTTTATTTATTTTTTAAATATCCAGTTAATGAAATAAGAATGATAGATGATAAAAGTAGAAGAAATTGGAGTTGATGATCACGAATGTGACAAATTAATTTTGTACCTAGAATTATGATGGTGAAAGAAAGTAAAGACTAGCAATAAGTTTACTTGCCTATGCAACAAGCCACATCATTGTTTGCCTGCTGCAAATTGGCCTTGACTGCACTACTATGCCTGCAATCAGCTTGCGCATTGCACACCGTATCAGTTCCTGGATCCTCTTGAAGATAGCAATTTACAAGCTCAACCGCCATTGATGTGTCATTTTCACTAATTTCCCAATTTGTGATGGGGAAGTGATCATCAGAGGCTGTAATAGTAGAATCTCCAACTTGAGAACAACTAAGATTTCCTACTGCTTGATTAACTGTTCCAACATTTTCTGCATTTTCTGGCAAGTCATCTTCTTTGCCAGAACCTTCAACTGAATCTGAAGATTTTGGTATTGATGTCTCAGCAAGGAAGTCTGGTGTAGAGGTTTCAGGGAACTCCTGTCCACCACTATCTGTTCCATTCAGTGACATGTGACAGTCATTCTCATTTCTAAGCGTGCTTGTAGAAGTACAATGTCTATCATCATATCTCTCGTCCTGTAACATCTCCACCTGTTCTGGCACAAAACCTTGACCAGTAAGAGCATTTTCTGCGTTATTTTTACCTCCCTGAAACGAATTCTTTACACACAGATGATCTCTAAAATCTGAACCGGATGAAATTCGAGCTCTCAAATTTCGCCCTATAACAGGTAAAGAAATCATTGCTCTGAAGTTCTGCTTTGTTGGTGGAGGACCCCCAGCAATTGTCAAATTCAAATTTGATGGTCTATTATTTACTGATGTGGAAAGAGTTGTAGCAGTATTCAGTATGCCTTCTCTGGTTTCATTACAAGTCTCATTGCCTAAACCATTGACTCCAGGAGTCCTGCCTATACAATCAACAAGATCTCTGTGATGAGTAGAACCATTTTCACCATTGACTTCTGAATATCCCACTAATCTGAACAACTCCACAGGTCGTGAAATTGTAGAGAAAGACCATAATCCAACACATGCTCCACAAAGTCTACAATCTAAAACAACAGACTTCGGATCAGACTGTACTCCGCTAGAAGCCATTGGATCGTCATTTGCCTCAACCGGGTTGGCTTCAGAAGAATAGACAGTAATACTAAGATTCTGTCCACTAGAAACCGTACGGGATGAATCCGAATGACTGAGATCTTTACTACAATGATTTTGTTGGTTCTTGCCATCAACAAGATAAGGTAGTGAGCGAGGTTCCCAGCCACATAAACTTATGAGCTTTTGTGCCTGCAAAAGATTCTAAACATCATCGCTTATCCAATAATTCAGTAACATTGAATAATTTCTCACCAATATGTTAAACAAGCTCATCTAAAAGAAAAGAGGAACATGGAACAGAAGAGCTTATATTAGTGTTGAAGGATTGACAGGGAAACTTAAGTTACTTATTACTTTACACAAATACTAGTCACATTGAAATGCCTAACCGATAAAGGAAGTTGGAATTAGCACTGTTTATCATTTATACATGGTGAGAACTGAAAACTATGCTAAAATGAAAGAAAAATACCACACAGAGAAGCCATATATCACTCACTCATGTACGATAAACAGTAAGTAACAAGTGCATGAGAAGGATACATAACTCCTCAGTTGCTTTACTGACATAATTGACATTATGCTAAGGTTAGTGAGAACCATTCTGAACAACAACAAGGTGAGTTTCTCTCTCAATAGGTGAACCAAAAGCTAACGACTTCATGGGTTTGTGAAATTTTATTCACCAACAATAAAGTCATATACATGCAAAAAAGAAAGAATAGCAATATAATTCTGAATGAAGATCACATACAAGTAGTAATAATTTTCCAACTATATCAACATTCATGTACATTAATAAAAGGGAGAGAGAGATTAAAATCAGTTAAGATTTTGTAACTATGGCTAGCAGACAATTGTCAAACCTGATAATACGAGACAGAAGATTCCATATCACATTCATTTACATGGTATTCTGTTTGAGAAGTGTCAGCAGACCCGTTGCTGAACTCTACAATTGACAATCCTTTGAGAAAGTGTTCCAACTGAGGGTTTCCCATGAAATCAATGGCTGAAGATGAAATCACAGGAAGAGCTGAAAGGTGCAAGAGTGCAGAAGAACGTTTCTTATACTCATCAACCAAGACAGCAGCTGGCATAGGCGGAAACTGTGCTAGCCTTTCATCACAGGCATTGTCGATCCATGGGCAAAGTAGCTTATGTCCATTATCCAGCTTTAAGCTGAATACCAATGCAGCTTTCTCGACTGGATTAGCACATGAATAAAGTTCCAGCTCAGATACAAAGAATAAGCTTAAATATATCTCATACCACTGTATACTAGTGCATGTTTTATTATATTCTTAAAATAAAATAATGAATGAGAAGAATGACATGCCTTGTTGCTGTGTCCAAGATGGCGGAGTAGTAAAGAAGAGACGAGCCCCACATGACTCGCAGGCAATAGTGTCCACGTCTACACTGACCCAACCTCTCCTAGCACAATTTACAGCACTTACTACCTGATAAAGATGGAAGTAATAATAGTTATCCACAAATCTCAAAGAGCAAAGTCCGAAAAAACCATGCAAAAGAGAAACAATAAATAAAAGAAATGAACCAACAAAGTATGCTTCCATTTCATATAAACAGTAAAACAAAAGGTAGAACTTCAAAACCCTAAAATAAGATAATGCTCAAGGTATGCAAGTGATATGAAAAGAAACTTATTAAGTCAACTTAATGAAGTTCCATAAGAAGTTTGAAAATAAGACCAGAACTCAAAATTTGCAAAGTTTCATATCTAATTTAAATATGTGTGTGTGTACTGAAAGATATGACCTTAATTGGAGGAATCAAATCAAATTTAGAGCATAGTCTATAAAGGTGAATTTGGAGGGAGGCGGGAAAGCTAAACGCCCAAACCAAAATCCAAGGAGACAAAAAGGAAAAGAAAAAGAAGTGTGGAAATATAATAATTCATGTACATATCCTGAAGTGTGAACCCTCAAGTTCAATAATCTGACCCCCAAACAGCCCCTTTTATTACAAAGAGCTACCCTAGTTCAAATCTATCTTGATCTACGAAGCACAGATATAGATACGGGACACAGGGACAACACGATAAGGACACGACCATACAACAAACTAAAAAAACATAGGATATGATTATATATATAATAATTTTTTTTGATAAGTAGGATATGATTATATATATAATAATTTTAATCATAATATATTATTACATATATATAAATTGTTACTCATTTTATCCACATTGTAGTCAATGAAATCACTAATTTGGAACTTAGAGTTACATGTTTGTCGTTTTTGTTAGAAGAAAATTTTATACTATTTTTCTAAATAATTAGTAATATATTTTAAAATTGCATTGGAATCACATTCTAAGAAAAATAATTATAGAACTACTCCGCAATGTCTTGGAAGTGTCCCAAATGTGTCTCTGTCATGTCCAACCAGAAAAAAATCAAATTTCAGGACACTTCTAGCCGTGTTGGACAAGTGTCTGAGTTCTGTCCCACACATGTAAGAGAATCTGATATTGTCACGGACCCCTAGGAAAAGCTTCCGTGTGCTTCCTAGGTCATGATGCTAGCCAACGTATTGTTATTGCACTGACACAGTAGACTCCCCTTTAATGCCCTGTCCTCGGAACAATTTAATGTTTCAGTGTCGCCTCCATCTAATTATTTTGGCACCTGCCACTTTTCCATTAATACGTCCTACCCCAACTCCATTTTTCCAATAGACCAACAATCTGATCCCTCCTCCCAGTTGCATGGATTAAAACATAATTTAAGGAGGAAAAGGAAAAGATAGAAAGCATAACAAAAACACTTGCAGTAAAGAAACAGTAGCATTTACTCTTAATACTTTTGGGAGGTGTCTTATTATCATCAATAATAAATCTTTTGTATGTGTGTTATTATCATAATAATAAATCTCTTATTAATAAAGTTATGAAAACTAATTACTTTTCTGAACAATCCTTTTATATACAGATTGTATACCAATAAACCTTGTCTATATATTATTTGAAATACAGCTTTCTTATATTCTCTTACCATAAGACAACTTTATTTTTTAGTAAATGACTTATTGTATTTTTTCACAAAGTTATAGTTAACTTCAAATTCCTGCATCTGGAGTCTGGACACAAACACACATCTTGAAGGACCTATTTCCATGATTGACTCATGGATACCACTTATCATAAATATTTTCTAGGGGATCATAGACGTATACCATAAAGGTCTAATCATTTATGGGGAGAGATTTCTTCACATTTTAAGATTCATCATACTTAAACATTAAGAGGACAATTTCCATACATATGATACATTGTTTGGCATGTGATAATGATAATACATTGTTTGGCAAGTCATACAAAAAGATGTCATGTTGAGTGATTTTTTTTTTTTTTTTGATAAGTATCATGTTGAGTGATTTTTTAAAAGTTTTTTATGGACATCTTTTTTTTTTTTTTTTTTTTTTTCTCTCCCTCTCTCTCTCTCTGTGGTGAGGTTTTGAGACATCTTGTTGCATTTGCTCATTTATGGAAAGTTTTGATAGTTTCAGAAATTAATTTCTGCCGGGTTTGCATTTAAAATCTTGAGTTATGAATGCGCCTCATGAAGAAACAAAAAATAGACTTTTAGTAAAGTTTAGGATTGTGTACCTCACAAAAATTTTTATAAATAGGTCTATACAAAACAATAAAAATACAATAAATAAATAATTTGAAGATGGAATAGTAAGAATGAATGGTTTAAGAGATCATTGATCTCTCTCTCTCTCTAACACACACACACACACTTACCTAGTTTCAAGGCCACAAAACTTTCTTTCATAAACATCCACAACCAACTCATAAAAAAAGAGCTCAATCATGATTGAAGCACATTGCAAATGGAGTTAACTAGTTTCTCATCCAGCATTTCGATACCATTTACCTGCCACCATAGATGGCTTAAATCCAGTAGTTGTCTCAATTGATATCTATTCTTTAATAAAACCGAGTAACTTTCTCCCTTAGAACCCATCATATGCTTCTTCTAGGCCATAATACTACAAGCAATTATTATTATTATCAATCCAATTTTTTTTTTTTTTTTTTTTTTGATGAGCATTACTATTATCAATCTCCTAAGTAGTAAGATAGGGTCCAAACCAGACCTCTCCCTACCATGAAAGCAACATGATTTTGAAACATCTTTGTCTCCTACTTTAAGCATATGTTCAATCATTATTACTCAAAGAGTGGGAAAATGTCCCATAAATTGGACACCACATGGTATCAAGAAGAAAAATCATTAAACAAACAAGTTCATAACCAACCTAATAGGGAGAAAAGAAGTTTCTCTGCATTTGCTGTTGTAATTTCTCATAAGATGCATCAGAGCAGAATTCCTGCCACTTACCCTAAACAGGAGCTCAGATATTTAATCAACTGACTTATAAACCACAGTCAAATACCAATACTATAAAAGTTGAAGCAAAGTTCACTATCAAGCACGGTCAATTCTCCTAGTAAAAACTTTAAGAAGCAAAATCAGATAGTAATGAATATGTAATTGATATAAAACTGATGACACAACTAATCACCATTTTCATGTTGTATAGTGAATAAATTTAACTTTTCATATGATAAGAATAAATGCAAAAATCATACCTTAGGTTTAGCAAACCATGTCATAGATTTGAATGTAGCCAACCTCTTCAAAAGATCCCCTCGATCCCATGGTCTGCATAGCGGAGTTTGGATTGATCCACCTGAAACTAACGACTTCTGCAATCTCTCAACCATACTGTTTGGGCGTTTTTTGCCTCTTGGCAACTGAACTCCAGACGAACTACAAACCACAGAATACAACAATCATATATGCAGCAGAGAACGAACTATAAAAAGAAACATAAACATAAACATAAATAATAATAATAATAATAATAATAATAATAATAATAATAATAATAAAGGAATTGTAAAAATCTTTAGCTAAATATTCAATCTGAAACCATGTTCTATATGTGAAAAAATCCATCTGAAAAGAATAAGCCCTAATAACAATGAAGATCAAAATATAACAGAGAAAAAACAAATCAGAGTATCTGATGTTTAGGTAATGAAATTGATTCAAATTGCATAAAAACGGGAATCAAATAGCTCTAAATGTCATCGGAATGAAGGAAAAAAAACCACGAATCTGACTAATGACCAAAAAGAATAGAACAATTACGAATATTGTAGTAATATAGAGCTAGCGAATTGCGATGTGAAATGAATGAATCTTAGGAGAGAAGAATAGAAAGAATCGAACAAAACCTGGCGAAGTTGGTTATTGTTGTAGAAGAAGTTGTTGATTTAGCTCTAGGTTTGGGAGGGGCGTGGAAGAGTTTGTCCATTACAGCATGAAACCTCTTCTCTGATTCTTCCGCCATTGTTGCTTCTCTCTCTCCCTATTCAATTCATAGACTGTCTATACACTATATGTATATATATATATCGCTCTTTTGCAATCAAAAGTTCTTTGCACCGCCTTCGGAATGTGCTTCGATTATGAAAGAAAGCTGAAACTTGTAAGGTCTTTTTGTTTAATCTAAGAATGTTGGGAAGGCGGTTCGAACCCGAGCTGGGGGTATGCTATGTTTGGAAATTGGAATTAGCAATAGACGGAACAAGAAAAATGCTTTCGGAATTCTACTCCACCCAAGTGAATTTACCAATTAGTTTACTCGTAAATGATTTGCAAATTAATAATGAAAAGTAAAACTATAAAAAAAAAAATAAAAGTTTAACGGAAAAGACTATAACATAAAATATATGCATGGCCACTTTTTGACCGGTTATAGTAAGCTATGAACACAACGATGGCCACTTTAAGTGGCTAATCACATTAATTAGCCATTAACCAAAAGTAACTATTTAAATAGATATTCATCGTATGAATAGATGGTCTTGTTTTGAATGTTGCGTGTCTTGGAACCACTATAAAAATTATTATTTTTTCAATAATTACGGTGCAAGTGGTTTGTACTTCCATAATTTGAAATGCTTGAAAATTAAAATATAAACTCTTAGTACATCTTTGTGAATCGTAGTTACAATATGAACGTCTAATATGGAACGGAGATAATATATTATTATTATTATTATTCAAGTACATTCTCTCAAGTTCCTCTCCTCTTTGTCGAAAAATACTTTCTTGCACGATGCAACGGGTGCATCCCAAATACAAACTGCCGTACGAATATTACAAGTGCAGTAATAAAAGGTTATATGCGCAAGGAAGTTTTTCCCCTCTTTGTCCCTCCCATTACATTTTCCTCTCTTTGCAAGTTAATTACTAGTACGGAGTATTATTTCTGCCACTTGGGCCCATCATTGAATTTGCTATTTGAACTTAGCTCAAAAAGCCCATTCTAATGCTGGGCTTGGTTGGTCAGTGCAAACCTTGTCTGAATCCATGTCCAGAAGCCCATATTTGGGACTCAAAATTAAGGCCATCCTTGAAGTGGAGAGAGAGAATCTTATAATTAAAGGAGAAAATGACCTCTCAAATAATTAGACCTGCAAACGATTACTAGCTAGTAGGGTATATATAATAGGGGGTGGACGTAGGATGGTCCAAAGTTCAAAATACCAAAGCCCCTTAAATTGTTCACTTTATCAACACTGATCCACTGGTCCTTGTGCTATGCTCACTTTATTTCTTCAGTCACTACACAGCTCTATATATATATATACACACATATATCTAATGTATATATAGGACTTGAGGCTACAGTTGCATGGCGCGTACCTATGCTTGAGATAAGAGGATGCATTATGTATATAGTACCAGTACCATTCTTTGTCGCTTGACTAACCTAGCTAAGCTGTACAACACACACATAAATAGGGTTTGCATTCTTTAATTGCTAGCTGGAGGTCAAAAGTCACAACCAACCAAACTTAGTGAGGGGATTCGATCGGTGCATTAACAGTACGTGTTTTATCTCATTCACACGAGTGATCACAATCAATTAGATAGGATTCCATTTCGAAACCTAATCCAAACTTGAAGTAATATTTAAAAGGTGTTTAATTTCAATTCTATATAACCCAACGCAACATCCTACCCGATGGTAGTCAATAATAGCAAAGAAAGAGAGAAAACCTAAGCATGACTCAGCATGCATTGCATGGAAACTGGTCCCCCTCACCCACCCCATAACCCTAACCCTAACCCTAACCCTAACCCTAATTAGTGCAATTCCGACACCCAAAAATCAAATCTTCCCCAACTAACAATAGCCAAATCCTTCAAACATGTCTGGGTAATATACATGATATGTAATTAATATATATATATATATATATGTCCAATAGAAACAACCAATTCAAGTAGCTTCAGAATCACAAGCTCAGCACTTCACAGACCTAGCTATGTGTGTAACCTCGTCTGAAAGTTCTCTCTGATCTTCCATTTCTTTTTCACTTACTACTCTGATCTTATTGTTAGTCATTACCATCATTACCTTTTCTTTGGCCTCGAGAAGCGTTTTTTGGTACTTGTCTGCAACACTTTCTTAGATATTGTGTCCTCTGAGTTTCCTCATAACTTTTGTTTTTCTGTTGAGTAATAACTAAACAGAAGCAAGACAGTTCGATGTCCTCTATGTTCCTTCTCTCTTTTACCTTTTTCGTTGCCTTTCAGTTGGGCTAATTTAGTAGTAACCCGAATTTCTTTTGCATTCTGGTTGTTTGTTTGTTTGTTTCTCTAGAAAATCTTGAAGACACTGATAAAAATTCGCTTCTTGCTAAAAGCTGTTACCAGGCCACCTCTCTATCTGGTTCATTTTGCTCCTTTCTTTTCTTGGTTAATTAGTCAGTCTATTTATCTGTAATATATTTGTATTTGAAATGGAGAATTTCACTATCAAAATTCAGACTGGCCTTGTTCTGTTCATCTTCATCTGTTCATATATTTTGTGCAATAGCGAAGCGGAAAATTCAGTAGCTCCCATGGAAGAAAAAGAGCAGAAGGCCTTATATTCAGCTATACAAGGTTTTGTGGGGAAGCGGTGGAATGGCTCAGATCTCTATCCGGACCCTTGTGGGTGGACAACCATACAGGTATATATATATATATGTGTGTGTGTGTGCTAAATTTTTTACTATCATATATGCATGCATAACAAGAAATATATATTGTCCAATACTATATTTGTCATTAGAAAAATGATATTATATATGTATGTATGTATGTATGTATGTATGTATGTAAGTATGCTTGATCCATCATTCCATTGTAAGAGAATTCAATACTTGTACACCAAAATATGGATTATCAAAGTGTGATTAGATTTGGAAACTTTTACATGCATGCCAAGAAACAATTTTGTCATGGTACATTGCTTATAGTTAGGTACCATAAAGTACAAAGTAATGTTCAGAGAAATTGCACTATTTAGTACAATTTTTTGTTTGTATCTCACTTCTCATGCATTTACAGTTTCATGTTTAAAAATTAATTTAGTTGCAATTCACACAGATATCAATTGTGATATAAATTATTCTTTTCCACACTAAAACTCATATATGTAGAAAAATATTTTACCTTATAAATGGTAATGCATTTTTTTATATTCTTCCTATATATTATGATCTTTTTTCAAAAAGAAATTAATTTGAACAATTGATAATATTGGACAGGGTGTATCTTGTGATCTCTTCAATGGCTTTTGGTATGTCACAGCTTTAAACATCGGACCTGTTTATGACAACTCTCTCAAGTGCACTCCAAATGCAAAATTCAGAAATCACCTGTTTGAGCTCAAGCATTTAAAGACCATCTCCTTCTACAATTGCTTCACCTCGCCTCAGCGAAACCCGGTCACACTTCCCACATCAAATTGGGAGAAACTTGCAAAAAGTTTAGAGTCATTAGAATTCCGATCAAACCGCGGCCTAGTTGGAGCGATTCCAACAACTTTGAGCCGACTCAAAAACCTCCAATCTCTAGTGCTGCTGGAAAATGGGCTAACGGGTGAATTGCCAATCGATATGGGCAATCTTGTCAACTTGAGGCGGCTCAACCTTGCCGGAAACCGCTTTGTGGGTCAGATTCCGGCTAGTTTGGGAGGACTGAAGAAGCTATTAATATTTGACTCAAGCAGGAATTCACTTTCAGGGACACTGCCTGTTACTTTTGGAGGTTTGACTTCACTCCTGAAGCTTGACTTGAGCAACAACCTTTTAGAGGGAGTGTTGCCAAGAGAAATTGGAAATCTAAAGCAACTCACACTTCTAGACTTGAGCAACAACAAACTTTCTGGTGAGTTACCAACCGAGTCACTTCATGAAATGGTTTCTTTAGAAGAGATGGTGTTATCTAACAACCCAATAGGTGGTGATTTGATGAGCATTCAATGGGAAATTTTACAGAACCTGGAAATTTTGGATCTTTCAAACATGGGTTTTACAGGAAGCATTCCAGAGTCCATGACAAAAGTGAAAAGACTTAGGTTTCTGGGGCTCAACAACAATAGTCTCTCAGGAAATGTACCTCCAGGATTGGAAGCAATGCCTTGTATTGGTTCTCTTTACCTCAATGGGAACAATTTGGGAGGGAAACTTGAGTTCCCAGAAAGGTTTTATGAGAGAATGGGAAGTCGTTTTCGAGCTTCGAACAATCTGAATCTCTGTTACTCAGCTGGATTAATGTCGTCAAGCCATGTTCCGTTTGGGGTAAAACCATGCGAGAAAGAAAATAATGTTCCTGGCGGGGACTCGATTAACAAGATGAGTGATGCTAACTGGGATAGGAATTCCCATTTTGATGCCTCATTGAGATTTTCAGGCTGTGGTGTTGATGGGTTTTGGTGGGGTTTAATGGCAAAGGAGATGGTTATTGTTCTTCTATGGAATATGCTCTTCTAGGTTTCTTGAAAATTTGAATGTTTATTTACTAGTGTAGCATGTTCTTTTTTCGCTTATGTGTATATATAAATTTTTTTTTTTTTTTAATTGTTTGCTTGGTGATTTTAATTGTAAGTTGGAACAAACGGCAACTTGTAAAACAAATTTTCTAAACAATCATCATTAAGCATATATTTTTCCAACCCTGATTAGCAAAGAAAAAGAAAAGCAAAAATATGTATTCTCGAGCTCATTTTGTGTAGTCCTATATACAATACTATGCTGAATGGCTAATAACTCTTGCTAATGCCAAAAACAGGGAAAAATAAAAATAAGCATTTGTAAATTAATTATCAACTTAAATGTCAACAAAAGAAAAGCAAAAATATTAAAAAAAAAAAAAAAAAAAAAAAAAAAAAACATATTCTTAATGTAATCCTATGAATTACTATCACCTTTTGTTTTAGTACATTGTTCAAAGAGAGTAATGATAGGAAATCACAATTCCGACTAATTTATATGAATAGAGTGATGTTATTAATGAATAATGATTTCGTATTTTCAAAAGGGACAACCTCGTCAACCGCAATCCACCTGAGACTCCATACAAACTCTCATTGATCATCATCATTCTCACACATTAGCAATTTTCGGTTGATTTTTTCTAGGCAATTACAAATGGCCTCTTGATTTTCGCAAAAAAATAGTTCCAAGCATTTTCAGAAATAGGACAATTGCTCTGCTATCAAAGGAAAAACAAGTTGGCTTCAATTTTTTTTGTGTTAGGCAGCACTGATCTTGTCACAACTGAATGTTTCCCAATAATTTCAAAACAAAAAAATCTGTCGAGCATTTGCGCAACATGTATTACAATGTGAAATTGTGAACGGATAAATTTACTAGTGTAGTATAACCTAGTATTTTTTGCTGATGCATGTTTTGCTAATACCTTACAAGTTGCCGAATATCATCTTCCCCTTTTCGCTTCCCATAAGGGTTGTTCTCACTAAATCCATGTCGGGCTCCATCAACTTTACGCTTCTTCTTCCTGAACTTGGATGCGCTGCTGTCTATATTTAGATTCATCTTTGGAGGGCAGGAGAAGCAGAATGAAGCAGCAACAGCCTTCCATGAACCAACAATTCATTGAAATTAGTATAAATCATCTTCAAAATGTAAGGATCACTCGGATAAGTTAAAAAAAAACACTTCTGAAGCATGTACAGCAAACATTTAAGTATGTACATGTCAACAAGTCATAAATAATTTACAAGATTGCATATTCTGAGTAATTCAGAAGTTATTTGTAACATTTATTAATTCAAATGACTCAGTTGAGAATATTTCTGCATTTATTAAAATAATTCAGCCTTCCCGTACCAATGTGAATTGATAGCTAACGACGTGATGTGACCCAAAAAATTGTCTGGGATTTAAATTAAATTTAAAATTGTAAGGATTTGAAATGGATGTCTTCATAAATTTGGATGAGTTAAAAGGATACAAGTAACATAATAGCAATTCTAATTTCTTAGTTCTGTGTTCCAACGCTTGAATCATCCCACAAACAAAATTAAATTGTTCCTATCGGAATCAGATGCATCCACTTTTCGAGCATCAAGAGTAGAGTAAAATCAGAATGGAGAAATTCGATCCCCTCCATAAAATCCAAATGTGATGCTGTATTAATGAGAGAGAAGGTAAGAGATCATTTTGGAATGACCCTTTACATACCACTTCTAAACCAAATAAAGGAAAATAAGTTTCTCTTCCCTTAACTTTTTTTCCTCTCCCCTCCCCTTTACTTCTATATTACACTCACCCGCACCCCACCCAAAACTTTCTCAACTAAATTAAGCATTATAATTTTCTCATTCCCTCTTTTCTTTTCTTTTTCCATTTTCTACCATCCCATTATATAACTATCCCCAATCGAGATGTGATAAAAACTAAGAGAGATGAAATAGAAGAGGGGCTGAGCAATTAAATGAAAGAGATGAGTCATATGACAAATAGCAGATGGCCACCCAGAATCAAAATCGACCCACCCCTCCCATCCCTTAAAACTGAAAATTGCAATTTATGTTTCTTTTAATTTCCAAGGAAGTGAAGCTCAAAATTTTCTTTTCCTATCGCCTCCAGAAACAGATTGAGTAGTTCTAATTCCAATCTGGCCATCAATTCCAGCCCCAATACTGCGTACCAATCATGGCCTCACTAGAATTCTCTTTGTTATTCCATTTTAACATCTTTAATCGTCAGCAATTAGAATCTAACTCTTAATTGCACCCCTCACTTTTATACGCAGCAGTACTTTTCCCAAGTGCTATAATTGCTTGGTTATTCCATCTACATACATGAATTCATTTGAAATGCTAAACAACTTTAGGCTGCCTTCAATCATGAATTCATTGGAAAGCATGTGATAAAACAGTAAGATTATACGTTTACATAATTTCAATTTAAAAGGTTAGGAAAAAAGGTTGGTACCGTCAGATCAAGGCGGTGAACATCAAAGATGTCCTTGGAAGAGTGTGAATTGTATGCTAATATGTAAGATCTATACGCGTCCTTAGCGGACTTGTTCAAATAATAGTTGTTGGCCACCAACTTTTCCTGCATCAATCAAAATTGTCCATTTAAGTCCCAAGCAGTAAGACATCACCAGAGAAAATAAAGTGAAATATGCCGAAGAAGACATTACCAGGTAAGACTTCACTTTTTCCAGCTTATTTTCCAGCTTATTTTCATTGCATTTGTACTCCTTCACAGGCACTTTTGCAGCCTGATATAAACAATAAAATAATATTTCAAATAAGAAGACTAGTCAAACCTCAGTTACAATTAAACCAAGCAGAAAGATTGCTTTTTGTTTATTATCTTTTATCCACAGATCATAACAGCGGTTGCTTTCGAATTTTCCAGCACACCCTCCTTGAGGGATTATTGTTTAAAAATGCAATTAAGGAAAACTTATATCCTTTCAGTGTTTTAGTAAAGAGGAGAATTCCTCACCATCACAGATTTAGGGGGTTACCATCCCAGCCTTCATTTGGCTTCTTTTCTGTTTGGTCATTTAATTTTTTCACAAAATTGCATTTCCTCACATGGTAAAGTATACAGACCTTAAGATAACTAACAAACTTCATTTCTTCTCGAATCAAGAAAAGCAAAGCATTTCCTTTGGCGCCTTCACCACGGGCAGTTCGACCAACTCTGTGAATATATTCCTAAAAGTAGTTACCCAAAGGCACATGTTTCAACAAGGGAGCATGAGAATGGGGACCTTAACAATATAAATATCAGTATTGACGTAGAAAGAAACTGATCACCTTGGGTTCATCTGGGGGATCATATTGCACGATCCAGTCCTGCAAGCAAAGAAAAAAGAAAAAAGAATAATTCAGTCTTCATAATTTGTCTATTTCTTCTATAGATGAGAATAATTGCTTTGACTATGGCAACCTTTCGCAATTTTCAAATAATTTTGCCCAAAAATATATTATATAAGCAAATAGCAATGGATTCATAAGCTTATAATGATCTATATTAAAAAAAAATTAAAAGAATATAACAATCACTAGCAGTGGTCAACACTATGGCTGCAATAATCCCTTTCTGATGTAAAAGGGCTGACGTAAAAGCAGATTACCGCAATTCTTTCTTTAATTTTTAAGAGGGGGAGAGAATTTTATTGGACATTATGAAATCCAAGGCCAACAATCACGAAATAATAACGACAATGAAGACAACAACAAAAATTTAAAAAAAAAAAAATGGTAAAATGATAAAAACACCCCTAACGTTTACATTTTGGGCAAATAACACCCCTATTGTTTATTTTGCGTATACAAGTTCATTAAGTTTGAAAAAATGTAGCAAAGAAGGGCTTAAAGTCACTGTTCCGTTAAAAATCAAGTCATGTGCATTGCACAAGTCATTTTTACGATACAAAATTCTGAAAATACCCTTATCTCTTCCAATAATGCCCTTACATATTTTATATAAATATTAATTTAATCTCGATCTCTCTCCCTATACAACACATACATACATACATACATACATATATATATATATAGATTTACAGTACAATTTTAATACCACAGACTTGGTCAAGAGCCAAGCCAAACAACATTCAACCTTCAATTCAAGCATTGAACCATAACATGGTTAGGTTAGTGAGTTAAAAAAGAGTTTGGAGTTAACCGAATGTCATAATCAAACCACACCATATTATTGTAATTACCTTTGTGACCGTAATAACCCAATCAAAGCTTGCAACCATATGACACTATAAAAGGTTAGCAGTATCTTAGCAAAAACACCATGGCAACGGAGCTTGCCGTTGGGATAATGGGGGAGGAATGGAGGATTAATTTTGCCGCTGTACCAGGAATTTGATGGTGGAGGTGGTATTGGGTTTGAGGATGTTGAGAGAGGTGTAACCATATTGATTTGGGTGTTGAAGAGAAATTAGGTTTAGTTTTCAAAAAGAGAATGGCGGTGGCCATGGTGGGAAGAGGTCAGAGGAACAGCGACCTTGGGTTGCAATGTGAAGGAGTTAGGTCCCTTGGGTCGCCGTCCATGGTGCTCACCAGGTCGCGCTCCGCCGACCTGATTGATCAGCAGAAGAAGAGGTCGCTTCCGGCGGCGACTGGCTTCATTGCCGACAGTATGCTTGTTGCCGGTGATGATGGAGAAGAAACAAACAAACAAACAAACAAAAGAAAGAAAGAAAAGAGGAGAGTTTTTTATTGGGATACATTTTAGTCATTTCACCTTTCATTAGTTTTTTACTTATTTTTTATTCAGGGACATTTTAGTCTTTTCAACATTTAGGTCCTTATTTGCTCCAAAATTAAATGTTTGGAAATTTCTAGAACGTATAGGGATTTAAACACTCTATATGCATATCATAGGGGTGTTTTTCGATCGCGACCCTAAAGAAAATGAATAACATATATATACTAGCATACCACAGCAGGAATATCAAGACCGCGAGCAGCCACATCGGTACATAACAAGATGCCCTTCTCTGCTTTGCAAAAATCAAAAAAAGTAGAGGTCCTTTTTCTGCTGCTTTTGCTTTCCATGAATATCATAGCAATTCACTCCTATGTATCTGAGAAGTTCCGAATGGTATTTGACTGAGTTGCATGAAGAAAAGAAAACCATCACTTTTTTTGAGAGGTTCCTTTTCAAGAAGAAATACAGAAGAACAAATCTCTGGGCACTGAGCACTTCACAATAGCCTTGCAGCAGACCTTCATTAGTGACCTACAATGCCCAACGCCTTGTCAGTTTCTAGAAGTTGAGATTAGAGAATATCATAATAAATAAATAAAATTCATACTATTAACTTACCTTTGTCCTCCCATCATCCACATTAATGTAGACAGGACGTTCCTGAAATGATA